TGCCTAGGCTTTTGTTTGCTAACTAGGAAATATCACATTTTTCTTTGCAGGATTGATATCTCCAGCAGGGTGATTTGCAAATCCTCATTATAAAAGAACGAAAAGCAAAGTGTGCTGCTTATAGACCACTTCATAGTGCTTAAAGGGTAACCCTTTTAGGGGTTGCTAGATAGGAAATAATCAGAAGTGGTTTATCGTTCCCTTTTTCTGGGAGCATCCTGAGGCTGTGCCTGGTTAGGGGGCAGAAAAGCACATGAAATGGTTTCAGACATTTCCATGTTTCCCCTGTATCCACTGGGCTCCACAGCTGGAGACCTAAACCACTGAACTACACCCAAACATGTTTCTGCAGTCACAAGGGCTAGAAACTTACCATGGCCTGCACAAGGAGCATAAGTTCTGCAATGTAATAAAGTGACGGTACTGCTCTAGAGCCAGACCAATAATTCTGCACAGTTTTTCAATCAGTATTTCTGAATTTACCTCCCCACCAAGACAAAATGCTGATGTAGTCAAGCTTGATACAACCAGACTCTCTTGCCTAGAAGGAGACCCTCAAATTATTGATCAAAGCCTTGGAAAAGTTGCTTTTCTGGAACCACAGAAAACCCAGTTGGCACAATCAGAGAGAGGGAGAGTGTGTGTGTAAAGCACATGAAATGGTTTATATATATGTGGTTCCAGAAAAGCAACTTTTCCAAGGCTTTGATATATATGCACTAGCTAGGAGTTTCAAGGAGGTGTAAAACAAGAAAAATAAAAAATGTCAAAGTCTTTGTTACTGGTAGAGCCCAGTGCTTCTGTGCTGTTCAAGGCTGCCCCTTTAGAACGCCTGCCTGTTCAAATAGAACTCTTAAACTAACTCATTGGGCTTTATTTTTAAAGGGTTAAATGAGAGGTGTCCAGAGTCCTAGAGGGTCGTCGAGGGGAGGGAAGGAAGGATGTGCGAGCCACTTCCGGGTTGGGCTCTCCCTCGGAAATGCCATGAGTTGTAACAATTGACCAGCGAGACGGAGAGTGGCAGAGCGGCAGAGGTGGCAGGTAAGGCAGTAGGTACGTAACCCGGGGCTGCTCCCAGGCTGATTTCGGAGCTCCGAATCGGTGAGTGTGAACGTGCACACTAGTGCAAGGTGGTGGTAGTGGTTCCAAGGTGGGGGGGTGAGCAGTGGACTTGCAGGCAGGCATCCAGCCCATCCCCAGGCAGTGTGGTGCAATGGTTAGAAAGGGGAGGAAATGGCGATTTTTTTCCCCCTTGCCCGGCCTTCGGACCATTGTAAGACATTGACAGGGAGGGTGGAAAAAAAACACCGCCTTTTTGCATCAAATCAGAGGACTGCCTTGTCCGGCATTCGGTTGCCACAGTAGCCGATGGCCGTCGGCCATCCTCATCCATTCGTGCCTGGTGTCCACAGCGATCCCAGTTTTTGAGGCTCACCATGGTAGAAGCAAAAAAATAAAACAAAACACTTTTCTTTCCCCAAGAAAGACAGTCCTGCTATTCATGTTAAAACCCATGCATATTAAATATTCGTAGTAGTGGTGCTGTTGGGGAGTCTATGCAACCGAAGGAACAAACAAAAAAAAATGTAGAATTCCATTTATAGTTGAAAATCGTATTGATGTCCTGTTGAGTTTAAGCTGTTGCTGTTACGTGAAATGTGAGAGCAACGAATAAACCCCTAAATTGCAGTAGTATTACTGGGAATCAATGATACAATCAAAGAATTGTAGAGGTGAGACTCTTCCCCCCCCCAAAAAAAAGGTGAAATATTTTGGTGTCTGTGGCTGAACATTATCAAAACGTAGTTCTCATCTTTTGCTGTAAAATACAATAGTGAGAAAATGTGTTTGTTTAATAAATATACTGTCCAGTTAGTGAATTTACACTACTCTGTATGGTGCACAAGCAAGGAAAACTTCATTCTTATAATAACATAATCAAAATGGCACGATTACCTTCTCAAATGGAGTAATCCAGTAGTCCCCAACCTCAGGCCTCCTGACGTTCTTGGACTTCAACTACCAGAAATCCTGGCCAGCAGGATTGGTGGTGAAGGCTTCTGGGAGTTGTAGTCCAACAACATCTGGAGGCCCAATGTTGGGCACCACTGGTCTAGCACATTGTTCTCCAACCTTGGGCCTCCAGATGTTGTTGGGCATCGACTCCCAGAAATTCTGGCCAGCAGAAGTGGTGGTGAAGGCTTCTGGGAGTTGTAGTCCAAGAACATCTGGAGGCCAAAGGTTGGGGACCACTGCAGTAATCTATGGGGGCGAAAAAACAGCCTAAAATCCAAATGTTAAAATTGACATCATTTGAGGGCATGATTACAGGTAGCTCAGTAGTTTAGGCACCTGGCTGTGGAGCCAGAGGTTGGGAGTTTGATTCCTCGCTTGTGCCTTCTTGACTCAAGCTGGACTCCATGATCTAAAGGGTCCCTTCCTGCTCTGCAGTTCTAAGATTTGCCATGTAGAATTCTATATTGACTAATTTCTAGAATATTGGCAGGGATGAAACCTGGCAGACCTCAACTGGCATTCTGTTCCACAAAATGGGGACTGTTACCAAGAAAGCCCTTAAGGGAAGCTAGTAAAGGAGGAGCTTCCTTTCCCACATAATGGCTGTGCAAAAACACATCACCTTAGGTACCCCAAGGAAATATTTAGCCCTTCTTTGCCCTAACATGAATGGATCCGATCCCTTTTAAAAAGAGTCTAGAATAGAATAGGCATCCTTCAGTCTCCAGAGACTAGGGTAACATGCTCTATATGGAGAACTTGGAACAGCGTCTAGTGTGGCTGAGGAGGCCAATTCGAGAGGGACAATCCCTTCCACACTGAAGACAAATCCAATGTGTACCCCATCTAGCTCCCTGATTTTGCTGCGTTCGTGACTGCCTCTTTGCCTCAGCCTGCTGGACAAGGGTCTCTTCAAATTGGGAGAGGCCGTGATGCACCGCCTGCCTCCAGGCTGAATGCTCAAATGTCAGGGTTTCCCATCTGTTGAGGTCCATTCCTAAGGCCTTCAGATTCCCGCTTGCAGATATCCTTGTATCGCAGCTGTGGTCTCCCTTTGGGGCGATTTCCCTGCACTAATTCTCCATACAGGAGATCTTCTGGAACCCGACCATCAGCCATTCTCACGACATGCCCAAGCCAACGTAGACATCGCTGTTTCAGTAATGTATACATGCTGAAAATTCCAGCTTGATCTAGCACTCCAGTTCCCAGAATTCTCCCAGAATTCCCCAGGCAGAAATCTGGTAAAAACAGTCTAAGCCACCATGAATTACCCAGTTTAACTACAGACTGTGTGACAAAGAATAGCTTGAAAGTTACAAGTGACCTAGTTACTTAGTACAGGTTACTTGTGAGCTAACTTAATACAGTATAACTAATAGTTGTCTTTAGAACACCAATATCACGTAGGTGTAATGCAGAACCATTATCTCATTTCAAAAAATTATTTTTGGAGTGGGGGGGCATTTTAAAGCATTTTGGAGATATTTTGAGGGTAATACCGTATTTCAAGTGTTATGCTCTTTTATTAGTCCTAAGTAGCAAAACAAGTCTTCTTTTCTATGCTGTCCTCACTGCCACTCCCATCTTCATATCACTTATATAGCACTTGTACCAGGATATGAGCAGCACAATGAAATTAGCATGTATAATTCAGTGGCCAAAATCTTGTTGTGCAAGCTGCACCTCTGGAAGGACGATAATTAGAGATGTGTCACCTGGATTTTTTGCACTCCAGTTCCCAGAATTCTCCCAGAATTCCCCAGGCAGAAATCTGGGAGTTCCACCCCACATCTAGGTACCTTTGGGCACCTAGAATAGAGCCTGTGCTGGAAGCTCGATGCCCATCTCAAGCCTACGTTCTGTTGTTTAATATACAAAAATAAAAGGTGCTGCAGTGCTTTCTGGAAGCTGTAGTTCTTCAGGAGATGCCTTCCATGCAATCTAAAGGACAGTGAATCTATGACTACCAGGAAGTACCATGGCATCTTTCTTTTTTTGTGTATTGACAAGAAGTAGGACTGAGAATAGGCACAGAGCTTCCAAGATAGACCATGCTCCACGTGATGGAAATATAGGTCTCTTATGGGCTGGAAGTCCTAGAATTCTGCTTGTTTGCTCCTTTCCTACAAAAATCTGAATGGCACATTCCTAATGATGATGTTACCGGCAGAGGGAGATTTTCTGGAAAGACTTAGTCTTTCTGTCCTCTGAGCGATGTTTCCCGTTCTGGATTAACCTTGCTATGCGGGGCACCACTGTATAGGTCTCTTATGGGCTGGAGGTCCTAGAATTCTGCTTGTTTGCTCCTTTCCTACAAAAATCTGAATGGCACATTCCTAATGATGATGTTACCGGCAGAGGGAGATTTTCTGGAAAGACTTAGTCTTTCTGTCCTGCACCTTTTCTGATTTGTGGAAATCTGTTTAGTTGCTTGAGAGCTGTGGGACAGAAGGAGGCAATCTTTTAATTAGCAAAAAAATCTTGCCCTGCCTGTGATATCATCACCTTTCCACAAGATTTTGGTCACCATTTCACAGCAAGCAAAGCACAGTAAATGATTATTGATAAATAATCTCATAACTGGAGCCCATTATTATGTGTCCTGCACTCTGGGGTGATGATCAAGAGAAGATATTCTAGGATTGTTTAGTCAAATAATCAGTTATTTAATTATTTAATTGAGTAATACAGTTAAATTTAATTCTTATTTAGTGATAACAATTTTTTTCAATTTTAGGGTTGTTTAGTCAGTTAAATAATCATTTATTTAAATAATTTAACTGAATAATGCAGTTAAATTTAATTATTCTTATTTAGTGATAACAATTTTTTTCAGTTATGTTGGGTGGGTATCTTATATTTTCTAATGCAATAGAAGCCCGTGGTCTCCTTTTGAGTGAATTGATTGAATTTTACATCTGTTTATAGAGTGGTGCAAGCATTTGTCCTAAATGTGATTCCTGTTTCTCCTCCAATGGAGAGAAACCCATGTGAATATTCTGTGCTTGCTCTGGCAGGTCATCAGACAAAAGGACTGGAGAGAGAAAGATCAGGTGGAACATTGCAGAGAGGTGGAAGCAAGCCAGCGTTGTAGAGGAGGAAGCAAACCAATGGCCACCCTCGGTAGCGATTCAGAAGAAGGTTCCGAGAGGCAACCAGAGGATCACCCAAGCGAAACCCGGGTCCAGTTCATTAATTCCTCGGGAGGGTATGTCGAGACTGATGAGTACTTGGCCGAGCAAGGTATCATCAAGACCGAAGTCGAAGATGATGGATTTGAAAGCGCACAAACTTTTGGATGGACCCCCGTTATCGTGACGGGTCCAAGGAAGGTTACAGGCGAGAAGCCCCACAAGTGCTCGGTGTGTGGGAAGACCATCTCCACCAAAGCCAAACTCGTTATCCACGAGAGGACCCACACGGGGGAGAAGCCGTTCGCCTGCTCGTACTGCGGGAAGCGTTTCAATCAGCAGGCGCACCTGAACGGCCACCAAAGAACCCACACGGGCGAGAGACCCTACAAATGCCTCGACTGTGGGCGGAGCTTCAGCGATGGGACGTCGTTCAAACGACACCAGCGGATCCACACAGGAGAGAAGCCCTACGAGTGCGCGGATTGCGGGCGGTGCTTCCGAGACACGACGGGCATCAAGCGGCACATGATCGCCCATATGGCCAAGAAGCCCCACAAATGTGAAGACTGCGGGAAAAGCTTTCTCCATCGCTCGGAGCTGCTGAAGCATGAGAAGAGGCACCCCAGGGAGAAACCCTACGGGTGTTCTGTCTGTACGCAGAGCTTCAGTAAACCGCTGTACCTGTTCCGGCACGGGATAACCCATGTCCGAGAACAGCGAGAGCATCAGCAGCACAAAAAGAGCCTCGGTTCGGAAGCTGAAGGCGTCGCGCACGGGGCTCTCCATGCTTCGGACGACCCAGAAGATGGCCGGCGCCGGGTGGCGAAATGCGCCTTGCGCCTGGAAGGGGACAGGACCTTTCGGTGCTCGGAATGCGGGAAAAGCTTCAGCCAACAAACCAACCTGGTTGTCCACTGGCGAACCCACACGGGAGAGAAACCCTACAAATGCCCGGATTGCGAGAAAACGTTTGGCGACCGGACCTCATTGAGGAGGCACAAGAGGATCCACACCGGAGAGCGGCCCTATCAGTGCTCAGATTGCGGCAAGCGCTTCAATGACAGCACATCCTGCAAGAGGCACAGGACGACCCACACAGGCGAGAAGCCCCATAAGTGCAAAGATTGCGGGAAGAGCTTCATGTATCAAATCCAGCTGAATAAACATGAAAGAAGCCATGCTGGGGGGAAGCTGTAGAGGAGATCCAAGCTGTGGATCAGTTTCTGCTCAAGGCCCATTCCTCTCACCTCTTGGAGAAGGAATTCCCAGAACAGGGGAAAAAAATAACAGATGGAGCTGTCACCGGAGCAGCAGCAGCAGAAGATAACGCTGCATCATATTTGGAAGCTTTTGAAAGAAAGAAACCCTGTAATTTTGTATACTTCCCCCCCCAAAGCCATCAGCCACCACATCTTGTGGTTGTGAGTTCCGCAGGCTAATAACATGCGGCACAAAGACATTTCCTCCCTCTCCCTCATCCTCTCTAAATCTACAGAACAATAATTTCTTTGAGTGACTTGGCGTGCTAGTTTTATGACACGGAAAGAAAAAAAATTTGTCTACTTTGTCCATACTGTGCATCATGCATTTTCTACCACATCCCCTTGCTTAGTTTTCCCCCAGTGCTTTAGCCTTTCCTTGGGGTGGGGTGGGGGGGCTGGGGATGTTGCAATTCCTGAGAGAATTCTGGTTTCTCTTTACTGTCCTGAACCCACCCTGATCATGATGGTAATTTATAGCAGAGCTCAGCCTGGGTTCCTTATGCTTGAAGATACGCTGGCGAAGGTATTAGTTAACGGTCTGTCCACTCTCCCTGCTTCTTGTAGGCAAAGATCAACCTGTGAGTTCTGTAAGGAAAAAAAAAGTAAAATAAAGATTTCATTTCAAAAAAGGGCAGTGCATAATGGAATATTTTTCCCCAGGCCGTAGGAGATTTATGTACACAGCAGAATGGAGTGGTAGAAACCTTATTATATATGGAACCCGTAGTCCTCCGGAATGTTGATTTTTATGCCCACAAGCCACTCAGGCTGAAGCCAGTGAGAGCTATTTCAGGGTTACAGAACACCAAATATGTAGGAACACAATTAAAAAAAAAACAATTTCTGGTGGTAACTTTCTTTGTTTTTATATTTATTTATATATTTGTTTTGTTTGTTTTAGATTTTTTTTTATTCCTACTGCCACTTCAGTTTTTCTAATGGCTCAAACGCTCATTCTGTCAATTTTTGATATTCTGGCTGTGAATGTCATTAGAACTGCCAGATAGCTCAGTGGTTTAGGCTTCTGGCTGTGGAGCTAGAGGTTGGAAGTTCGATTCCCCACCGGGCCTCCTTGACAAGGGCCAGACTTGATGATCCATAGGGTTCCTTCCAGCTCTGCAGTTCTAAAGTTATTATTATTATTATTCTAAGGTTATCACCAGTGCCGTGAAAAATCAAACAGCCCAATTAGGACTGAACGTGCTCAACTCAGATGTGTTGGCAGATTGTTTTTAGGGGGTGGGCAGAGCCTGTAAAAATTACTTTTTCCAGATTCCCAGCATCTAATAGCTATGCTGGCTGAGGAATTGTGGGAATTGTAATTTTAGAAGAAGCGCACATCCCACACTCTGGGATATGGGACTGTAAAGTTAACGTGGAAAGAACAAAATGGAGTTCTGAAAAGGAGCGTGGCTGGCAGACAGGTACTGAAGCATTTTGTACTGCAACATTTTGTGGCTGATCTCACTTAGAATCCCTGACAAAGCAGTGACTTTTGTGAGCTGAGGAGGTTTCTGGGTGGAGGAGGGATCTGAATCTGGCTCCTGCCATTTCTCAGAAATATATTTATTTATTTATTCTATTTATATGTCACCTATCTAGTCTTGCGACCACTCTAGGCGGCCGAAAGGTTCGACGTTTGATACATTCAGGATCCTAAGAACCTAAGCTTTTCTTTTAAGAAAGCATTTCTAGCCTTTATGGGAGGAGGTTTCTGGGTGGAGGAGGGATCTGAATCTGGCTCCTGCCATTTCTCAGAAATATATTTATTTATTTATTCTATTTATATGTCACCTATCTAGTCTTGCGACCACTCTAGGCGGCCGAAAGGTTCGACGTTTGATACATTCAGGATCCTAAGAACCTAAGCTTTTCTTTTAAGAAAGCATTTCTAGCCTTTATGGTTGCAGAAATAGTGTTGCGACCACTCTAGGCGGCTGAAAGGTTCGACGTTTGATACATTCAGCATCCTAAGAACTAAGCTTTTGTTTTAAGAAAGCATTTCTAGCCTTTATGGCTACAGAAAGTATGCCTTGAAAAATGTAGGACTAGGCTTGGAGCCACAAGTAGTTTCCCCACCCCAAGAGAAAAAACTAGTGGCCCCCGTTTTTTTGAAGGGGGATAAAAAGTAAATTGCAAATGAGCATCTACCCTGGAACAGCATTTAAACGACCCCCAAAGATCCATTCTCAACAACAATGGTGTGTGTATTTGTGTGTCTAGTCATGTCCAGGTTCATTATATCTGTTTTTATTTGTTTGGTTTTTTTTGGGTGGGGGAGTGTCTCTCTGTGGTTCCTGGAGACTCTGGAGGGACAGAAGATCAGCCTCTGGACCCACCAAAAACTGTCCACTTTGATATAAACCATGCCTGTTGAGCTTTCAGAAGCCTGGAAGGTGGTTAAAATGGAATTAATGTGGGCTGGGGAGGCGGAATCGTTTCCATGCCATTGGCAGCAAAATTAGAATTATGCAAAGCAGTATGGAGAAGAAAAAGGTGTCCCACAAGGAGTTAAAGCAGGGGGTCATAGCTTGCTTTTCGCCAGGGTTGCCAGGTTCCCTCCCGGCCTCACCCACAGCGAACAAGGGATGAACGGGTGTAGAATTCCCGGGCAGAAAAGGCTCGTCTGAATGCAGCCGGAGACACGTATTCCTAGCGATCGCTGCTGATCTCAGGGAAAAAAAAGCCAAAACACGCTTTCCAGGGATTTCTAGTCCTTGGGGATGGGGCGGGGTTTCAAAGTTTCCAAAACCAAAAAAGAATGACAGCTCTTTATGACCTCACTGATTACAAGTCTTCGCCCTCCTAGGTTTGTAGTAATTAGTTTAAATGTTCACTTTGCTTATGTTTGCGTTATTTGTTGTTGCCACTACGGTCAACCGCCCATCATTCAATCAAATCAGTCAGCCCATCAAAGAAACCATCTACCCGCTCAGGGAAATCTCCCTGTAGTTGGTTGAAGCGGTTTGCAGTCCCCCAAACCTTGCAGAGCCAATAAAATATACTGATTTTTAAAGTATCACTACTACTGTATTTTGCATTTGCTGCAACAGATAAAAATGGCTCCTCCATCCACCCGACCCCAAGAAGAAAAAAGGGATCGTGCCCCAGTCCTCCTGGCCCCTTGGACATCCAGAACCAACCTAGGAAAGCTCTTATGTTGGGCAGAACAGTACCAGTTGAATTCCTGCCTGCCTGCATTAAAGCTACTCGGATACTAAAAGAAGCAAACAGCAGCGGTGTGACAAAGTGAATCCTTTCCCCTTTGGTTGGAGAAAGGGTTAAGATACATGGCGCGTGTATTCCTAGAGAGGCCCGGAGAAGGGAATGGGGGAGTCGCTTCCGGTTTTGCTCCAAAATGCAGGGTCAAGAGCATGCCTTTGAATTGCAGGGGAAGAAAAGCAGGGAAGCCCTCTTTTGAAAGGTTAATTGACGAGTGTGAAAATGCGTGCAATTGCACGGGTAGGAATCCCCTGGAAAGTGAGAAATGGGGTTGCAGCCAGACATCCAGCCCTCCCAAGGCAGTGGGTTGCAATGGTTAGAGACACTGCTGGGGAGGTTGTGGGAATGGGTGAATGATTTCATGAAGGTCTCAAGGGGAGGAATGTTGGAAAGTGTGTGCATCTGTGCTGTCCCACACTGGACTGTGTGTGGGTCCTGTTTGCTCATTTCCTAAAAAATACTTCACAAAAATCTGTTACTACCATGTGCTGTAGCGGAGTGACACACTAGGATTGAAGAGGCCTGGGTTCGAATCTCCACTCAACCTTAGAAACTCATTGAGAGTGTGGAACTGGTAGAACTACTCCTTAAATATCTAATTTACCTTGAAAGCCCTGTCAGGGCTGGTTCCGACTTGACAGTACGCAACAACAACAAAATCTATTTCTGGTCCCATCTTGCGGCTAGTTCTCAGTGACGTGCTACTTCTCCCTCTGGACTATACCAGTTCAGACTGGAGGGAGGTTCTCACATGAAAGACTGCTTCTCCATAAGAATAAATCCCTGAATATAGAAAATCTGTCTACCAGGCAGCTAGAGGTCAGCCTTATCCATGAGATTTCTGTTTCATTGATGCTGAATGAATTGTTAACGCTTAGGCAAAATCCCACAGAATCATTAGGTCTGTTGTAGCAGAGGCTACATATACTGTATAGAGAGACGTACCACATCAAAGAGAACCAGCCACCTGTCTGAATTCCCTGTAATAAATATATAATAATACCATGCCGACAAGTTGATTCTGACTTACGGTGATCTTTTCCAGTTTTCCTAGATAGAAGGTGGTTCACCATTCCCTTCTTTTGGGGGGATGCTCTGGGACTGTGCAGCTTCCTCAAGGTCACGCAAGGCTGGTCCTTCTCCCAGAAGGCCCAGTGGGGACTTGAACCTCCAACCTCTGGCTCTGCAGCCAGAGGCCTAAACTATTGAGCTATTCAATGAGTTTTGAATTCCCTAGAGACCAGCGGTTCCCAACCTTGGGTATCCCAGGTGTCCTTCGACTGCAACTCCCAGAAGCCTTCACACAAGCTGTGCTGGCTGGGATTCTGAGAATTGCTGTTCATCACTGGGGAATTTACTTAATGGTGCATAACAACACCAAACCCCTTCATGAGAAGAGTATTTCAGGAATGGATTGATTTTTGAAAGAGAAGCTTCCTGTCCCGATTATGGGCTTTTCCTGTTGTAACTCTGAAGGAAAATGGCCCCCCCGAGCCTGGATGTCTCTGAGCCCTGGGTGTCCTGGCGGGGATTTACATAGGTCACGGACTGATGCCAAAGAAGCTTGATTTGGGAGGGCCTGACCCCTAAGAAAAGACTGGGAAAAAGTCCTCAGAGCATTCCAGGTGAGACAGCTCAGGAATTCCTGGAAAGAAGCGCACTGGAGCAAGGCAGAAGGACACTGAAGGAGGAATCGCAACCAACCTGGTAAACCCAGGAGGAGGAGTTCCTGAAGACCACGCAGGGGACATCCCAAAGAGGAGGGCTCTTGTCCAACAGATCAAGGCTTTTATGCCCCACTTTGAGGGAGCTTTGAGGGTGGAACCGGGTGGAAGAGTTCTTGCCCTGGGAACAGGTTAAGAGTAATAAGAGGCCAGAAGAGCAGCTGAAGGTGAGTGAGGGTCGTCTTGGTCTGTGTCACACGTGTTGAGAATTCCGTTCATCCTGGAGTAACGTGGCAGTAGGTTCACTGTTATGCAGTGAGGTGAGCAGGATACCCATAGAATCCTTATTCTGTCCCAAAGGTTAGCTCTCTGACCTTTTCTTGACCTGGTATTTAGCAGTAGCAGATTTGGAAGGGACCCTATAGATCATCGAGTCCAGCCCCTCTCAAGGAGGCTCAGTGGGGAACTGAACACTGAACTGCCAACCTCAGGCTCCACAGCCAGAGACTTAAGCCCCTGAACTATTTCAACCCAGGGAGTCTGACATCGAGGCTATCCAGGGTGTTTGAGTTGGAAGACATTTGGGGGTTGGGGGGGCAACCAGCACTCTATTTTGTGCCTTCCTCCAACTCCACATCTTCCCCCCCCCAGCTTCTGTCACTGCACTGGCTACTCCTTGGTCCCCTGCAACATCCCCCCACCTCCTTGACAAAGACCTCACAATAGCAAACAAGCAGGTAGGCAGGACTCAGAACCTGGTAAGGATCACTGACTCCCGCAGGAGTCCTACATTTATGGACCTCTCAGCACAAAACATCAGTTGCAACACATGGGCCACATTCAAGAAATCTCCCACTGATGGCACATGAGATCCTTCTTTGAGTGGAGGAAGAGAAGAAGCACTGGCAGTGGCAGCCCTCGCACCCGCTCCAGCTTTTTATACGCACTTCTCCAACCAGGTGTTGAAAGTCAGAAGGGGAGGAAGAAGGGGAAGCGGTCACCCCCAATCCAGGAGAGCTTTTGTCCTGCACAGAAGTGGAGGTCCCACAGGCGGAAGCTCAGCAGGGGGAGGATCACAGTAGCAGATTTTCCCCGGTGTAGTGGACAGAGTGATGGATGAGGACTCAGAAGACCTGAGTTCGAATTCCTGCTCAGCTGTGGAAACTCATGGGTCTATGTATGGGGAACTGATGAAACCTCTTAGGAAACAAATATCTCCATTAGCGTCACTGCAAGTTGGTTTTGATTTAATGGCACCTAACACACAGACACATTGCCTCCAGACGTGTTTCTGTAGGCTTCTAGAAGAAATCCCTCCACACTGTATTGAGGAAGACATTATCATCGCTGTTCATGAAAGCTTCTGAGCACAGAGCCAGCCTTGCTTTCCTGGTGGCCATGGAGTTGGGGCGATGTTTTTTTTTCCAAAAACACAAATCAATGTCCAATTGCTTTCTCGTTTTTGAGGGGGGTGGGGGGGAAGCGGCCAATTCCCCTGTGGGGAGGAGCTGACCTGGGGTCAAAATTGCCTCTAGGGTCCACCAGAATTGCTGGATCCCTCCCCCCATTATAAAATACATACATAAGAGGGGGCAACAAACGAACCTTTTTATGTATAATTGTTATCGAAAACCTATCCACAGACAGACCCACCTCTCCCGACCCATATAACGGGCATGACCAGGACACAGACATTTGATTTAATACTTTTAACGGTTAAGCTGCTCAATACTCTTCAGTTCTGAATACTTTGTTTTTAAAGTCTTTCTTAAAGGGAATTCCTGGCAACGTTCTCAAAGCAAGGATGTCGAGAGCCGACGATTCTGCTTCAGGAGCACCAGCTGTTCAAAGACCTCGTCGGACAAAGAATGATTTTCCACAGTCATGACGCTGCCCTCCGGCCCGAACAGGCTTTCTAGGGCAGCACTAGAAGGCACGCTGGTGTTGTACTTCAGAAAAATCTGCAAAATACGGGGGAAATCTTCTAAGGAGGAGGTCGACAATTCCCTCCTGGGGGTCTTCAAGTACCTTGATATCTCCTCTTCGGCGGCAGACCTCCTTGTGGGCTCGGTGACATCAAAAAAGAAGTCTTGATCGCTGTCGTCTTCCTGCTCTTTTTCTGAAGGCTGGTCTTTGTCCTCCATGTTCAAAGCCTTGATTTCTGCCTTCATCAAGGCCTCTAGGGCAGACCTGTGAGGAAAAAAAGAGGGGCCATGACAACACTGCATTCAGAAATAGAAGGAAGGATGGGAGGACTGCTGGAGAGTTCAGTGGTTTAGGTCTCTGGCTGTGGAATCAGAGGCTGAGAGTTTGATTCCCCCCAGTGTCGGTTTCCTTACAGGGCTGGACTCTTATGATCTATAGGATCCCTTCAAGCCCTACAGTTCTATGATGATGAGGGTTATATCAGAGAATAATGGAGTTGAGAGGGGCCTATAAGGCCATCGAGTCCAACCCCCTGCTCGGTGCCGGAATCCAAATCAAAGCAAATCTGACAGAGGGTGGTCAAATTTTCTCTCGAATGTCTCCAGCGTTGCTCACCACCTCTTGAGATAATAAGTTCCATTGTTGTCCTGTACCTCGAACCCATTTATTACGTGTCCTGCACTCTGGGATGATTGAGAACAGATCAATCCTGCCCTTCCTCTGTATGACAATTTTTCAAGTGTTTCAAAAATGCTGTCACATCTCCCCTCAGTCTTTTTTCCTCAAGGCTAAACATGCCCAGTTCTTTCAGCCTTTCCTCATAAGGCTTGGTTTCCAGCCCCCTGATCATCCTTATCACCCTCCTCTGAACTTGTTCCAATTTGTTAGCATCCTTCTTGAAGTGTGGTGTCCAGAACTGGACACAATACTCAAGGTGAGGCTTAATCAGTGCTGAATAGAGGGGAACTAACACCTCGCGGGATTTGGAGACTACACATATGTTAATGAAGCGAAAAATAGCATTTGCCTTTTTTGTAGCCACCTCACACTGTTGGCTCAAATTTGTGATCTAGTATTTGTGTTTTCTTATGCTTAGCCTGATGAAGACCTGTTTCGGGCTAATGTTTGCGGGAGGGGAGGTTGGGCAATCTTAGTTAGTTAGTTAGTAAGTTAGCTAATTACACACACACACACACACACACACACACTTTCTCCTTGAAAAGGAGCCAAGGTTCCTTACAACAATGAAAGGCAATATCTCAGGTTGAAAGTTGGAAACAGTGAGTATACAATGATGGTTAACATCATTATAAGACAATATTTAAATCTACAAACAATGAATAAGGAGGCATCTTAGATCAGTAACAGGCAATATTAAGGTGAAAATTAAGTATACAAAATGTTTTTTTAAAATATCATTCTGAAAAATGAAAAGGGTAAACATGGGAAACACAAGTACCAATCTATCTCAAAGTCACACACAGGTAGCTGGGAAGGCTTGCCTGAAGAGAAAGGTCTGTGCCTGCTTGTTTCATCTGGATGGGGACACTCATGGGAAGAATGCTGGAGAGGGATGTGCAACTAGAAGGTTTTGCACTCTATATATCCCAGATTTCTTCACAAGTCCCGAAGCAGAATTTTGGCCATTCCAGTCAAACCTTCAGACACCTATAATTTCCTCACCCAAGAGCAGAGCTTCAAACATGGTATCTGAAGGTGTGGGTCTGTAGAGTGGAGCAGACAGGATTTTGCTTGGGGAATTCCTGGAGAATTCTGGGTTGTTGTTTTTTGCCACTTCCCAAAAATACAAATGGCAGATCCCTGCAGCTAGATTAAATACAGCAGGAACACTTTATAGGCAAGATCAGCACCCGCTGTTTCACTTATCCACTACCTGAAAAAAGATAAAATGGATGGATGGATGGATGGATAATACAACCCAGAAACAAAGGTTCCAAAGCTGTATTACCAGGACTGACCACTAGATGGAAACAGAGGCTGCGCTAGATACAGCTGGCTTATTCGTTTAGTCATGTCCGACTCTTCGTACGCTAGATACAGCTGGCTTAGTCGTTTTAGTCATGTCCGACTCTTCGTGACCCCATGGACAAGAGCACGCCTGGCCCTCCTGTCTTCCACTGCCTCCCGGACTTGGGTCAAATTCATGTTGGTTGCTTCGCAGCCACTGTCCAGCCATCTCATCCTCTGTCGTCCCCTTCTCCTCTTGCCTTCACGCTTTCCCAACATCAAGGTTTTTTCCAGGGAGTCTTCTCTTCTCATGAGACGGCCAAAGTATTGGAGCCTCAGCTTCAGGATCTGTCCTTCCAGGGAGCACTCAGGGTTGATTTCCTTCAGAATGGATAGGTTTGTTCTCCTTGCAGTCCAGGGGACTCTCAAGAGTCTCCTCCAGCACCACAATTCAAAGGCATCAATTCTTCAGCGGTCAGCTTTCTTTATGATCCAGCTCTCACTTCCATACATCTCAAACATGAGTGGACACAAAAGAAACTTTAAGTAAGTTCTTTGTTTAGCCGCTATTTCTTGCATCCATGGGGTGGTGGTGGAACTAATCCCCCTGCGGAGACAGAGTGCATACTGTACGCCCTCCACCCTGATTTGATGCACCACCTGAAGATCCGATGGCCCTCTTATTTTCTAAGATTAACATTTACAGCTGCTTTGTACTGAGTCCTCATCCATCAAGCCCCACATCTCTGACTGGCAGCCACATCTCTCCAGGGTTACAGGAAGCATTCGTATCCGTAGCAATCACCCTGCTTTGGCTCAGGTAGAAGATTATTGGCCTGTACCAATGAGAGCGGTTGGGAGGGGGCCAGAGAGAAACTAGAAGGGAGGGGTGAGTCAGAGTCTAGTCAGTTCAGTCAGAGACAGAAATGAGAAACATGAGTTTAGGGGTTTGAGGCAGAGAGAGAGTGTTTAAGGAGTGATTAGTCAGAGTGTGACCTGTATTAATTAAGATAGAAGAGATTAAAGTACAGTGGTGCCTCACAAAAGTCATTCGTTCCGCGAGTAGAATCGTATTGCGAAATTTTCGTCTTGCAAAAGTGCGGTTTCCCATAGGAATGCATTGCAATGCATTCCTATGGGAAACCTCATAAGACAAATGAATTATTTTCGTCTTACGAGGCATCGCTCTTGTGGGGGGAAATCATCTTGCAAAGCACGGGCATAGAAAAAGCCATCTTGCGAGTCTCCACAATTGCAAAATGCTTTCGTCTTGCGAATTTTTCATCCAGCAAGGCATTCATCTTGCGAGGCACCACTGTAAACTATTGAAGCTTTGTGTAACTTTAAGAATGTGCTTAAGAATTAGTCCTAAAACAACTTGTAATCAATACACCTGTTTCTGTTCAAAAGTTCAGTACTGAATGGACCTCAGCCTTTCATAGGAAATATAAGTTGATAAAGAGATCAACTGGTGGCAGTGTTTTAAAGGACATGTTGGGATACTCGGCTGAGCTTTTGGTTTGGTGAAACAAGCAGGGGTACGGGGTAAACATCGCAGTATCCTAGCCCTATCTGGAGATCCCTGGTATTCTCTGGCAGCCTCCCAGAGAAGGGCTAAGGAGCGATCCTGCTTAGTTTCTGAAATAGAAGACAGGGGCCCAAATCCTCTTACCTAGATATTCTAATATAGCACAAAGGGCATAACCTTTGGAGGCAAAGCACCTGAAGTTAAGAAATCAACGTAGATATCATCAGTTGTTACTACACTGTATAACTTGGTGTATAGTTGATAAAAGCTGACTCAACCACTTGGGCCCATTGGCCTCCAAAAGTTACACCATTTCCGTAGCTAGGCAAGAGGATTTCGGCCACCGCCTGTTTTCAAGATGGCACAAGGGCGCGATTCTTCTTCGTATCTTACCTGTTCGTCTCGGACGTGTCCGAGGGCAACCAGTCCAGTTTGAAGAGGGGGTGTAAGCAGGACGCCAGAAGAAGCTTCTTATCCTCCCAAATGGGTGCAAATCGGTTCCTCAGAGCTTCGCGCAAACCCTTCAAGAGTGGGAGGCAGTATGTGTACGGCTCAGGTCTGTCTTCGAGCCTCTGTAACTTGCGGTCAAGGCTGTACAGAGTTGGGAGCAGGTATGCCATGAACAGGCTGTTCTTGTGTTGCAGAATGTCAAGGGACCGGGCAAGGGGCGCCATGATCTCCGTGTACTCCTCCAGCACTAGGCGCTCAGCATCTGTGATCCTAGCCACACCGCAGTGGTCCCTTACAGCATCCACTTTCTGTGGCCTGGTCGAGAGGAGCTCATTGAGTTGCTTCAATGCCTCAAAGGTGGAATGCCATTGGGTTTTGTCAGGAACTTTCAGGCGTGTGCCGCACTGTTGGTGGATGTACTCAGCGATCTCTTCTGACTGGCTCTGCTTGGACCACAGCTTGCTGCATTTTCCCACCAAGGCACGGAAATGTTTCTTGAAAGGCCCCACGGGACTGTGTTTGCAGGAGTCAGGAATCAGAGCCTGCAAGTCCTCCGTCACCACCAGGTTGAGGGTATGGCTGGCGCACCTTTGTTGTGGCGGCAAACAAAAGAATTCCTCCTCGTCCCCCGCATCTTCCTCTTCCTCGTCATCTGTGTCCAGGATCTCAGAGATTGGCAGATATTCTACTTTGGCCTCCTCCTGGTTGCCATCATCTATGGCAGCCTCCGCCGCCGGTTCTCTGGCCTTGGACACCTGCAGGGCTCTCACAAAGTGGGAGCCGTTGTCAGTGACCGTGGCCACCACTTTGTCATCGATCCTGTACTGCACGTGGACGCCGTGGAGCGCTTTGGCGAGGACTCCGTACGTGCGTGGCCCTTTCAGCCGCTTACAAGCCAAGGCCCCGCACTCGCGCTTCATCGTGGCAGGGTTGATCCAGTGGGCCGTCACGCTCAAGAAACGCCTCCGGCCGCTGGTCCAGCAGTCCGCGGTGGTGGCAACGTAGGACACGCCACCCATCCGCTTTGTGAGCGTTTCTCTCATGTCCGCTGCTTTCTGCTCGATCTTTTCCCTCAGAGTCTTGGCGCACATGAGGGTGAGGTCTTTCGGGAGGCCGAGGCAAACCAGCGCCCTGAAAGTTGGCTTGTCCACAGTCTGAAGGGGGACGGTCTCCTCCACGACATAGTCCAGGAGTTTCTGGTCGAAAACTTTCTGGAAAGAAATATCCCTGCCGCATTGCCACCTCCTGAAGTCCGACCGTGTCCTCGCCATTTTCATAGCAGGGGAACCCTCTTCCTCGTCTTCACACGTCAGTTCGGGACGGCGGCGTCTCCCTGTTCTTCCTCCTACAATTTCAAGAATGGCTTGCAGCTCCTTAGGATGTGCCTTCTGAGGAGGAGGAAGGAAAGCATAAATATCCAACCACAACTTTGAAAAGGTTACTTCATGTTTAAAGCACAGCAATAATCCAAGCATCCCGGGCACAGGGCCTCTTTTTTGGAGGGCCACATTTAATTTCAGAAACATTGTCAGGGGCCACATGTCAGAGAATGGTGGAGCTCACAGCAAGCGGGTGGAGACCAAAGTCCCAGCAGGATAAATAAAGCACCTCCTGTCCATAACTCACTAAGCCTTGTAGCCTTCTTGAAAGGGTGGAAAAAAACCTACAAATGCTGGGAAACCACTAAATGATGGTGTGATGGGAAAGGTGCCGTGCCTCTGTGAGGAAGCCATTTGTCAGAAAGGCTGGTTCAAGACTGGAAATGGGAAAGCCTTTAAAATAACTGGAGGGGAAACAGTTTTTTCCCTGTTTTTTTTTCCCAAAGCCTTTTTCTTTTGTTTATTTCTGGAAAAATTGGAAAAAAAATATATGGAGTGTGGAACAAAGTCTCAGAAGTCTTTCATAAAGGTCTTTATGTTATATAGTTTGAGTACCATGTCAGACACACATTACGTCAAAGAACATATTCCACATGGGCAGCTTGAGCTGTTACCCCTTGGCAACCAGCAACAAGGTCTGGGTAACCTTTGTTATCTTCTTCAATGCAATTGTTCCACGACAAGTCACCACACTTTTTTTTAAATGGACTCAAGTAACTTTTGGGGCCTCTCTGGGATTAGGGGCCCTGAATCTTAAGCTCCATTAGTTTTTTAGTAGATGTGCCCCTGCCTCCTTGGAGAACAGCCAGCCTATGTAGCCTTGGGCAAGCTGCACAGTTCCAGAACCTGCACAAGAAGGGAATGGTAAACCACGTCGGTTTAGTTTCTGCTCAGAAAGGATCGCCATAAATCAGATTCGACTTGACAGCACAACTTTTAAAACTAAATCATTTATGGTGCTTTGACCTCTATTTGCGTTTTAACTCCTTGCATTTTAATTGAAGTCTCTTTAGAGGCGAAAGGCAGCGTAGAAATGACACAAATAAAATAATAAACAATAATTATTAGTTACATGATGTACACGATGGTGGAAAATAATCCACAGACGTGGTTATTCTTCTAGCTTTCCAGGACCACAAGCAAAACCAACCTGAAAGGTCTGCAAGTTGGACCAATACTCTAAGAAATCAGAATGAGAGGCTAGGTCTCAGGATACAGAAAAATGTAAATGATCTTTATTCCGGTTTAAAAAAAAAATGCATTTCAGCACATGGCCTTCTTAAGGAGGAAGGTTTTAGAAGCAAAACTTCCATTAGCAGATTTGGCCTGTACCAGATCTGAATGCTACACGAATAGTAGTAAAGATTTTCGAAGGCTTTCACGGCCGGGATCTAATGGTTGTTGTGGGTTTTTCAGGCTCTTTGGCCGTGTTCTGAAGGTTGTTCTTCCTGACGTTTCGCCGGTCTCTGTGGCCGGCCTCTTCAGAGGACAGGAGTAGGAACTCTGTCTGAGCATGGATAAAGATTATTTACCTTTTTCTCATCCTGAGACCTAGTCACTCCTTCTGGTTTCTGATACCATTGAACGTACTGGTTCCTTGTGTTTCCGCTGATCGAAGCTCACCTTGAAATGTTGCTTGACGTTGGAGGAGGAACTGATGGCCGAGCTCAAGGTTTTGAACAACGGAAGGCAGTAATTGCACTGCACAATCACATTCTTCCCCTTCTGTCGCATAAAGGTAACGGCCTTCTCAAACCCAAACCACGGGACCCACGGTTGTGCAAAGGTTGTGGACGTGGTTGGCTCCTGCTCCTCCATTTCCTCCTCTCCCTCCTCAATCATCCTCTCGTGCCCCACCTCATGGTGCGGAGGTTGCGCCCGGTCAGCAATCTTGGTGGGCCTGACAGTCACCTTGGCAGCCGCAGTGACAGCACCTGCAAGAATAAACAGGGAAGGGTGGTGTAGTGGGTAGAGCATTAGCCTAGAACTCAGGAGACTTGGGTTCGAATCCACATATGGACATGGAGTTCCATGCCTGGGCCCACAGCCATGCCACCTTGATCTCATGAGAAGGTGGGAGATAAATGTAATTCAAGCGTAAAATTTTGGATGGATAGCTCAGTGGTTTAGGTATCATCTGCCTGCAGAACCAGAGGTTGGGGGGGGGGTTTCAATTCCCTATCGTTTCTGCTGTGAAATAAATTCAGCCTGTGTAGCCTTGGGCAAGCTGCACAATCCCAGGGCACCCCAAGAAGAAGGGAAAAGTAAACCAGTTTTGAGTATTCGCTACCTGGAAAACCCTGAAAAGGGTCACCAAAGGTCAGAATTGACTCAGCAACACATGATTATTATTACTATTGTTAAATATAAAATCTGAGAGTAGAAAGCATCTTTATGCTGACAATGACTGCAATACGGAATTCTTAAATTCTTAATCACAGCTTAGGCATGGGTTTGTGTTTTTTGTGGGGGAGACTACAATTCCCAAATTCCACAGCCTCATCTGCGAGGGATTCCAGCAGGAAAACTAAAATTAGTGAGTCCACAACATTCTCTGTCGCTGCTCCCAGACTTTGGAACTCCCTCCCACTGGAAGCAGACAACGACCTTTCTTATCAGTCAAGTTTTCCTTCAGCGACTGGCTGCCTGAGTTAAATTGATGGTTGTGCTTTACTTCTTTGAATGCGTTTTTTTTGTACAGTGGTGCCTTCGCTATGCTGAAGCATCGTTGAACGGGGCAGGGGTTTCCATTGGAATGCATTAAACATGGTTTAATGTGTTCCAAATGGGCCAAATCCTCACCGTTCAGCGAAGCTTCGTAATGGCCGGCAGCCATTTTCGCGCCCTCACCTCGCTTAACGAGGGCGCAAAAACACTGCGCGCGGCCATTTTGGGCCATTTCTGGGCTTCCGGCGGCCATTTTGGCCACTGAACAGCTGATCGTCGGGCTTCGTTTTGCGAAGATCGGTAAGCGAAACGCTTACCGGTCTTCGCAAAGCGAATTTAGCCCTATTTAAAAAACGTTAAGCGATCGCATTAGCGATCCGAAAAAACGGATCACTATGCGATTTCGTCGTTACACGGTGCAATCGTTAAGCGAGGCACCACTGTATTGCCATGTGTTTTCCATTTCTAAAGGTGGTAATTTGTTTGTTCCTTTTTAATATTTGTATACTTATTGCTTTTTGCTTCAAATATTGTCTTTTAATGACCTAAACTGCCTTTTTATACTTGTTTTTAGCTCTAAATATTGCATTTTAATGATGTAAGCCTCCCTGGGTCCTTTTTTAAGGAGAAAGGCAGAGTAAAAATATCTCAAATAAATAAACATTATTCCCCACCATTCTCTTAAGTATAATCACACAAAGTGAATAGGGACTTGACGACATGTAATAGCAACAACAGCGTCTTTGTATATAGTGTCCCAACAGTATTTGTTATTCAGCTGTGTACAATAAATTTCATTGGCAGAATAAACCTGAAGAAAAATTCATGTGATGGGAGATACTCTTTCAGAAACAGTAAACATAAGATCACGGGGCTTCTTACCTAAAAAGATGTCTGCGAGATCATCTTCCTGTTTGATTTCCTGGAAGAAGGGCGGCTGCCAATCATCTTGAAAAACTTCTTCACCCTCAACAAGGTCACTAGTTTCCTTCCTGGAAGGATCCAGAACCTAATGACGCAGGAGTACAGATCATGTTCAAGAGAGACAGAACCAGATGAGGTGGAATCAGAATGGGGGATGTTTTCGTCGGTGTGGTTTTTCTTAACGCATGCCATTTGACAGAAACGGTGCAGTTGGGAAAAATGGGTGCAGTCAGAAACTGATTTAAGAAAAAAAGGATGGCTCTAACAGTGAGGCCCCGGGGTTTATCTCTCAGTTTCCAACTGCACGTCCCCCCAAAAAACTGGATTGCAAAATGGTCCATTCTATTCTTACTTCTCTCCTTTCTTCAACCAACCACTGCCTCGCGCACTGAGCGTCCCGTGACTTTTATCAGGGGCCTTCGAAAGCTGGACATGAGGAAGAGACTCGGTTGCCGTTCTGAATAATGTTCTTTAGGGAAGCCATGTGGGTTTATCTGTGTGAATGCGCGAAACATCACAACTCTGAAATCTTACTGCCTCACAGTACACACAGCGTCTGCCTTCTGAATCACTGCACTTTATCTCAGTCTCTTGCCTAAGAAAGAGATCTCATTTTAAAAAGTTACTTTTCTCAAACTACAATTTCATTACTAATATACAGTGTCAGCCTCCAGAGGCCGGGCCTTCTTCGCTGTGGCACCTACATTCTGGAACCAGCTCCCAGTGGCTCCCTCTCTCCCTATGTTTAACAGGCTCCTGAAAACATTGCTTTTCAGAGGTCTTTCATGCCATTTCTGCTTGATTCCACATCTTCCATATTTTAGCTAGAATTTATGCCCCCTGTGATTGTTGTACTGTTTTAATGTTTAATTGTTTATTGCTTTCATTTATAACCCTACCACTGCTGGGTGTTCTCTTAGCATGCTGTAAACCATCCATAATAGTGCATTGCTTTAATGGGTTGGGGTGCGAATTAAACAAACATGGAGACAAAAATAAAAAATGCCAGCGTTGAAAAAAAAAGGATTCCCAACTTTTCCTAAGTAGTAACCTCCTCCACTGCAGTGCTGCCATCAGAGCGGTTTACTTAAAACCTAACCCTTTCCCCAGAAGAGATTCGAACCTGCAACATGTAGCAGTAATGGGGCAGGGAGGCTTGGGGGAAGCTTGTACAGTGGTGCCTCGCATAGCGAGGTTAATCTGTTCCGGATTCACCTTCGCTATGCTGAAGCATCGTTGAACGGGGCAGGGAAATCCATTGGAACACATTAAACATGGTTTAATGCGTTCCAAATGGGCCGAATACTCATCGTTCAGCGATGCTTCTTAATGGTCGGCAGCCATTTTCGCGCCCTCCCCTCGCTTAACGAGGGCACGAAAACGCTGCGGTCGGCCATTTTGGGCCATTTCCGGGCTTCTGGCGGCCATTTTGGCCGCTGAACAGCTGATCGTCGGGCTTCGTTTTGCGAAGATCGGTAAGCAAAACGCTTACCGATCTTCGCAAAGCGAATTTTGCCCTATCTAAAAAACGTTGAGCGATCGCATTAGCGATCCCAAAAAAGGGATCGCTATGCGATTTCGTCGTTGTACGGTGCGCTCGTTAAGCGAGGCACCACTGTATTTCCGACTTTTCTCTGTACTGCACAGTTCTCGGCCATGTTTAGCACAAATTCTTAATCCACCAAAAATTAAAAAACAAAACAAAACCAGAAAACCCTCACCTGCTCTTCCGGTCTCAGCGAGGCACCACTGTATTTCCGACTTTTCTCTGTACTGCACAGTTCTCGGCCATGTTTAGCACAAATTCTTAATCCACCAAAAATTAAAAAAAAACAAAACAGAAAACCCTCACCTGCTCTTCCGGTCTCTCACCCTCCTGTGGCCTCAGGAGAAACTGCTCTGCCAAGGCCACCGCTTGGGAGCAGGTCTCTGGCCCGCTCTTCCGGACCCAGCTCTGCATCTCCTTAGGCAAGATGGCCAGGAATTGCTCCAGGATGACCAGTTCCACCACCTGTCCCTTGGTACGTTTTTCCGGCTGCAGCCACTGACGGCAAAGCTCCCGGAGTCGCTCGTAAGCTTCTCGGGGCTCCTTGGCTTCCTGGTAGCTGAAGATCCGGAAGCGCAACCGTTGGAGATCCGAGTTCTCTAGGTTCTCCTCCTCCTCCTCTTCCTTGACTTTCATGCCGCCTCCACCAGGTTTCACCCACAGGTTGCTCTCAGTTCGTGGAATCTCTGAGCCAAGACCTGACAGAGGCTCCGCAGGTTGATCCCTGATACCAGTCAGCCTCTCGAAGTGGGGCAGGAAATCCCTGGCATGGCCGTTCGGCACAGATCCTGCAAATCGGGGCACCCTGTGACTGGACTGTTCAGACTCCATCGTCTTGAGGAAGTCCTGCCACTGGGCTTCCCACGTCTGCTGCAAGCCCTCTCTCATGTCCCGCTTGCCTCGCTGGGATGAGTACCTTCCCCCGAATTCCCCGGGCATCCCAGCCGGAATGCCCTCAGGGCCTTTTTCTGGTTCGAGGCCTACCGAATCCAACTCCTCCTGCTTCACACCCTCCATTAACTCAGCCTGAAACTGGATATCCAGGGCTGATAAACGTCTGGGCTCATTAGCCATCTTCCTTCTTGGTCGAAAGGGAAAGAGAAATGGTATCGCCGCCGGAAACTGGTTCCTCAAAAATCAAGGCACACTCTTAAAATAGTAGCCTCTCTCTCTCTCTCTGGGAAGGCGACACAACAGCCAACACAGATAATCTTCTGAAGAAGGTATCCATCTAAGGAAGACAAAGAGTTTTCTCAGGATTCGTAGGAAATACGTTGCCCTGTGTTTTTCTTTTAATGTTCTAATCTCGGTCTCCTGCCCTGAAATTTCAGCTGTAAAGCAGAGATAGGGTGGAGATGCTTAATTCAATAAATAATGTCCAGGGGGTGATTTAGATGCTGACCTCTCGCTTCCTCTCTTCACCAGGGTTCCCCACCATATTCCAACCCCTTGCTCACAACTTCTTGGTGATGTAGGTGGAATTATCATTCTATTTATGTTATTCCAACTTAATTCCACAAACCCGAAGGTTTTGTTAGGAGAATAAGTGACTGCCCCAAATTCAGTGAACTTCATAATGCACATAATTCCAGGTGGACTTGGTAGCCAACACTGACTACTGGGAGCCAGGAAGACTCAGGTCTGTCATGTCCTACTTCACAGGAAGGGGTAAAGAAGTGTATTGCCTATTACGTAAATACATGTCTAGTTAAAGCAAGTATAGGAAGCTTTATATGACATAAGAGTTCCTGTCCTGTGTTTGCATACTTCTGCTCCCCAAATATTGGCTGAAATCCTGTTGCTCAGCACAGTAATTTGCACACATAATCAGCTGCAACTAGAGTAGGGCCATTTGAATAAATGGAACTTATGGAAGGGTTGGCATACTACACCCCCACTGATTAAATGGGCTTACTCTAGTTGTGATCTACTATGTTAAGCAACAGGATTTCGCCCCCTATTTAACACATCCAAATACAGTGGTGCCCCGCATAACGAGCGATTCGTTTAACGACGAATCCGCATAGCGATGAGGTTTTTGCGATCGCAAAAGCAACCGCATAACAATGTTTTCAATGGGTAAAAATCGCTTTGCGATGATCGGTAAGCGTTTCGCTTACCGATTATCGCATAACGATGTTTAAAAAACAGCTGATCGGCGGTTCCAAAATGGGCGCCAGAAAAAAATGGGCGCCCGCAGTGTTTTCGCGCCCTTTCCTCACTTACCGG